TTGTCCATTTTGACAAATCAAGAAAGGACAATAATTTTTTTTCTATTATACCCTTATTTAAATAAAGTTGTCATAAATAAACTTATGAACTTCCCAACATTGATTAGTTATCTTGAGTTAATTTATTTTGGAATTGTAAATTGTACTATAAGGATAAAATTGTAACTTCACTATGCTAATCATTGTTGCCTTAATCTGTGTGTCATTTCTAAAATGGACAACTAAATAGGGACGGAGGGAGTATGTTCTAATCGCTGTCAGGGCCAGTAGTGTATGGTCCCTATCGAATATAAAGCTTTTAAGAAAAAAGAGATTCTGAAATATAAAAGTGTACATGAGAATATCAAAAGATGGAATGATTGCACACAAAGTTTGGCACACTAGTTTAACCCTGCACTTATACCAACCAAATTTTGAAATAATGTTGAGCTTATCAGAGTAAAGACACCCACATTCAATAGCAAAGTATTTTGATCACACTTATCTGCTCCATTAGATAAGAGAAATAATACTGAATCCTGGGGGTTCCCAATTATTAGAAGCTCATATACTGACATACTTTACTCTTCAGTTTAGAGGTATAGGAGTTAGGACAAAGAAGCTACCTCTGATATAACTCAAGGTACTAATTAACGTGGTCCATTTCCATCTTTCTTGACCTATCTTTACAAAAGAAATCATGCTCCTTATCCAGCTTTTTAATTCAAAAATTCGAAAAATACACCAGTTTTTCCATATACAACTTCGATTTGATGTTGAAAAGAGAATGCTGGACGAAATTCATGGGGATCAGATCAACACTTTGCTTCGGCATTCTCCATTAGCATAATAATGTAATGCATGTCAACCAAGGCAAGGATAAGCAAGGTATGGCATATAAATGTCACCTTAGAAATCCATTAGGTGTAAAATAAGTAAGACTAATATATATCTACATTTACTAGCAAAATCCTGCAGAAAACTCAGTGATGCCTTCTTACGGATGGATGTGCATTATGACTGAGTCAAGTACGGCATACAAATGGGGGAGCTAGGTGATGCAGAATTCCCCCAAGAAGAAATTGACCTGCAGGTTAAAGATCCATCAGATTAATCATAAGATATTCCAGGTGAGACTATTAAATGATATATCAGGACAAAGGAGCGCGCTAAAGCAAAATTACCATGTAAGTAAATGGTGAGAACTGGGGCAATCAACTGTCTGACATCATTTTACACCCTCTCTTGACTATAAGATGTGTTATGCGATCCTCATTAGCTAAATTTACGATGCCGAAATCTCCACTTCCCTAAGCAAATCCAGCTTTTCCTGCTTTCTCTTTGTCTTCTCTACATATTTCTTCTTCAGTGCCCACTTTGGTCCATATATTGCCAAATGCGTTCGACCAAACCGCCGATCAGATATCTGTAGTTTTAGTAACAATAGAAAGAGAATTAGTTCTTGTGTAGATGTATGATTGAACCATACATCCAGCTAGCTCTTCAAAACATTTTAGTTTCTGTTGAAGAGAAAACACCACCCAAACACATCTACTAAAGACAGAATGGAGAAAGCAATCAACAATATTTCAAATGACAACATCCAAAAATAAAATGTCCTAGCACATGCACTCGAGCATCAGAGGGGGATAGTGCTGTTCTTAATACTGAGAAAATGAACTGCTCAATACCTTAACAAGGCAACCGCACGAATCCAGCATGTCAGTTCTGAAAGGGTACTCCACCAGCTGAATACACAAAAATATGCTGACAATTACCACAAAAGAAATTTTTGGGCAGAAAGGAACACAATGGACTTACAAAGCACAATATACTGAAGCACTTACTATAAATGTATTCTCTCCCACTATTGATGATTTTGAAATTTGATCCATTAATATACTGTAATCAACAACAGCATATGGTGGTGTAACACTAATATAATCAAAGCTCCCATCTTCACCTGAAAAAAATAAATATAAATCCTAGATTGTTATATTTCAGTAAAAGAGCAGCAAACAATTTTCATGGTTAGATCTTTGATTTTGGAACACATCATCCCTCAAAGTTGTAACTATCTGTTTAGTTCTTGAAGACTGCCAAACTAAACAGCAAAAGAAATCACGCAAGTGAAGAAAGAGAAGAGAAACTATACGGCTTGTAAATTTTCCAGAAGTACAGGATTGGTGAAGTTAGATATAAAGGATTGACTTGCCACAATCAACAACAATATCTAGGGAACCTCCAGAAAGTCGGTTGAGCTGGTCTGGCGTCAAGCATGTTAGAAGTTAGCACCAACCATATAACCCATCCCCAAATCTGAACCTCTCTTATCACTCTCTTCTACCAGGAAATTACCAATACCAACTGCAGGTGATGAATTTTAAATGTCTGGTTAAGTTTCATTTAGAGACCTCCATGTGCAACGTTACTGACAAACAGAGGCGTATCCAGGATTTCAGTAAGATGGGTGCACGATTACGAAAAAATACTTTTTAAACATAAATTTGATCAATTTGACTTTTAGGTTCTTAATATGAATCATTAAATTTTTAAAATTATAGGTCCAAAATATATATTCTACTAGTTTTAAATTTTAATATACACATTTGATTTAATTATATAAAAAAATTTACAGTGCTAAATTTTTTAGGAATTTTCAACGTAACACACTTGAAAATTTTGAAAGATTTAAGGAAAAAAACAAAAGAAAAATTAGTTGAAACGCCAAAAGTGTAACTGATAACCACTTGGAGGGGTGTTACTCAAAAATAGAAGATATATAAATATAAGATTTAAATTTCTATCCTCACTTAGAGAGGTGCACCTGATCATCATTATCATATTATTATATGCTACTTTGAACGTGGGTTCACATATTTATATTTAAATATTTTTTAAAAATATAACACTACTATATATGATCTAGAGAGAGGAGCATGGGTTCACGTGAACCCATGGCACCCCTCTAGATACGCCCCTGCTGACAAATGACTATTGCGGTATGCAGATCACAACTACCTTTGCCGATTGTTTGACTTAAAAGATCTAAATCTATAAAGCAGTCCATATTTGCTAAACAGCATGCCTTCGAAATATGTTTCATCAATGGGATAAGGAACCTCATTAATGTTAACAGTTAGAGACAGTCTACTGTCAGCACCATATTAGGTATCAAGAAAGAAAGGCTTACCTCCAACCTGCACCTTGATTGACTTATGCAATGATAGCGAAAAAGGTATCAGTTTGAGAAAAGAGATACCATACCACAAGTGATATAAAGGCATCAGGATAGCCTATGGTTTTTAAGAATTTTACTTCAGTAAAAATGTTCAAGGCATTTCATTTTCTGTTTCCTTGGCAAACAACCCTTGTTTTTTTATATTTCCAGGGAAAGTAATGAACCTTGTTTTTTATACATCTCGGAGTGAGTAATAACCTTTTATTTTTGTACAGAATTGTAAAAGAAAACATCAGATAAAATATTTAATGAACCTTTTAAGAGAGAGAGATATCTCCTATTGGGCGTTAAATCAGAATTACTGATTCATGATACTATTAACTCCCTAACTTACTTCGCTTGTGGGGCAACATCAGGAAGAGAAACTCTTACCAAGAAAATGTTCTGCACGCTCCAAGAAGCTTTCAACACGGACAGTATGTATGACAGACGCATCAAGGAAACCAGTCCATTCTAAATTAGGCCGGAGAACATCTGAGACAACCCAAGGGTCCATCTCAACAAAATGCACCTAGGAGTTTGCAAACAGAAACATGAAACACAAATGCTATGAGAGCAAAATGACATAGAAAAACTGAAAAATATAAAGCTCCACATATCAACAGCTAACTTAAAAATTAAAATCATACAGAGACAATAAAAGTATCACTAAGCAATAAGTAAATAAAATTTAGCATATGTTCCAGAAAGGGCTGTTACAAATTTAATGCTAACCTCAGAACACCCTCGGCTGATGGCTTCTATACCAACTGATCCTGTCCCACTATATAGGTCCAACCAACGGCCAGGCCTCAAAGATGCAGGGCAACCACCGGCTGCCTAGACAGCAGAAAACAATTTTTATTTAACAACATTAAAACAGTGTATCTTGCATTACATGAAAGACGAACTGCTCTTAATGGCTAATAAGAATCTCACTTGCAAAATACCAAATGCAGCAGCTTTTACAACTTCCATCATGGGACGCACATCCATGCTCTTTGGTGAGAGCAATTTCTTCCTTCGAGCCGTCCCCCCAACAACCTGAACAAAAAAGTCCTTGTAATAGCAAAGATATCACAGCTGCTTGCTTGTCTGACAACAATTGCATCATCACATGACATGTGTACTTGGAAAATGAATTACGAACTTTTGCTTAGTAAGCTATATGACTAGCCTACCTAGTTTGGTAGGTGTAGACATGCAAAATTTTATGGTATCAAGTCCATACAATACTTGGATTAAGTATCAGTTCACAGTGGAATCTTAATATGCTTGAATTATCAACAAATGGATCATAGCAGTGAAAAAAAAGAAGGGAATTCTCCATTAGCAGCCACAGATTCAGTTAACATGTCATTGAAATGCAAACCTGAAGCAATTTATGTGTCTCCCGTGGAGGCTTAGGTTCTTCTACTAGGACCTGTTTTCCGGTTCCGCTCTTGGATTGTTCTCTTCTCTTCTTTGTCTATAACTCCAATGAAAACACCACTGTTAATATCAATTAATCAATATAACTCAATTTCTTCAATCTAGTTAAGGTCATCTGTAAGAAACATCTACATTAACGTCTATTCAGTCCCCATTTTAAATATTTTTAAAATGAAATAAATATTTTTTTTTCATAGAGGGTAAAAGAGAGAACGACGTACCTTTGGAGATGGTTCAGATAAGAACTCATCCGGATTTAGCCCGTATTGTTCAAGTAACTGCCTTTTCTTATCAACTGAGAGTTCATTGTTGGATTCTGACAGTATATTTTTTGTGAGATTAACAGCAAAAACATTGAATTTCGCAAAGAAGATAGAGGAAGCGAAACAACTTACTGGAAGAGACTGTGATAATGAACGGTCGGCGACGATTGGTTGCTGTGAAAGGATATCCGACGAGAGAAGGCTTGAAGCTAAGCAAACTGGTCTCCGGGACGATTGAGTGAGACCGAAGAGGTGAGAGAAAAGAAAATGCAGTGTGTGATGATTGAACCGCCATTTGTGTAACCCCAATTGCACTAAGCAAAATTTGGTTGAAGTGATTTTAAGCTTTATTCGTTTTAAAATTGAGGAGACACTGTTTAGATAGAGTGGAAAACTGGGGAATTATATGAGCTAAAATTGTTCTCCTTTTTTTTTTTTTAATCATGAAGATATTTTTATTTTTTACTCCACTCTGTCCCACTTTTGCTCTCATAAACACTCAAATTCACAATTACTATCTAAGCAACCTTTTTTAAAAAAAATTTATCTCACGAACCTGAGTTGCTAGTCAAATTGTAACTTTTTTTCAAAATAAAAAGCATGTTTTTGGTAGCTGATAAGTGATAAAATATTGGAGTAAACAATTACTCTCACCGTCTCGATTTACTTGTCAAATTTTTCTTAATTTGATTTCTATTTTTACTTGTCATTTTTGATAGATCAAGAAAGGACAAATTTTTTTGTATTGAGTAAATATATTTGAGATCCTATCAATTAATAGAAATAAAATGATAAACTCAGTGAGTAAATATATTTGAGATCATATCAATTAATAGAAGTAAAATGATAAACTCACCATATTAAATTTTTTTAATAGGTGTGTCAGTGTTGATAGTTTTTATTTTATTTATATTAAAATAATTTAATTATCCTTAAATATATCAAAATGTAGTTACGTGAAAAAGGTTGAATGATGAAATTTTTCAAATTTTTTTTTAGGAGTTTTGTTTTGGGAAGATCATTTCACGATTAAAAAAAATGAATATTAAAAACATTAGTTACATCAAAATTCAAAGGTGCTTACAGGATAAAATTACTTTTAATTTTTTGTTGATTTTAACTTATAACCACATGTGTTTAAAAAATACTTATAAGCTAATTTCCCCAACTTACACATTTATACAAATATCCTCAATATTACAAATTAACTAGCAACTTACGATTCATGACTAAAGACCACTACTGATATTGAAGTATTCTTATCTCTTGATAAAAAGAGAATCTGAGATAAAGTTTACATAAAATAACATGCCTTCCTAAAAATCATAAAATCAATTCCAATATATTTATTGATTGAAATATAATTTCGATGGCCTACCCCTTGTGGACAAAAAATGGTAGAGTATTGACTAGTTATAAGTTTGGTCACTTCTTGACTAATCCTTTTGTGCACTTGAATTCCCTTGGCCTGAAGATATTAGTATCTTTAGAGGAGTTTTGGACCTTCTCTTTTTTTTCTTTTTTTCTTTTTCTTTCTCTTTCTACTATAGCTTTTTCCATTTCAATTTATGTGACACTGTTTAATTAAATACGATTTTTTTTTAAAAATGAAGATTTTTGAACTCTCGCCACTCACCAGCATATTTACCAGATAACTCTGGTAACCAATAACTCAGATAGATGAGTGATTTTTTTTATTTCATTTAGACTTTGAACCTCATAATTCTCCTTCCACATTATTAACCATTAGGAGGCCAAACCCTTGGGTGCCTGCTTAGTACAATCATAGACAGAAAAAACAGGGCAGGCAAATTTGAGGGTAATATCAAAACTTTGATCTACTCAGTGCTACTACAAAAGTAATCAGTTCATCAATCCACCATGTTTCGAAAAGATCTCCTTACTCTAAACTGTCTAAGAGGGTACTAAATGTACAAACCAGGATATACAAAGAATGTGGATAAACTTGCTCAACTACTTGTATTTATATGTAATAGAAAATTTTGTCTACATATTCCTGTCAGGAGCAAACCTTACAGCTCTTCCTACAATGACCTACAGAATTTCCAGAACCCACCATGTATAGAGGATTTTTTTCACATTCACCATTAATAGCCCACTGGGAGCAGTTTGGGTTTTGATCTTGGCATTCATTATTAAATAGAGTCTCAAAGGACCTCACATGAATCCATTTAGTAGCAGACCACTTCTCACCTTCGATAACAGGGCAGCTTCCATGCAAGCTTAGAGGATCAGTTGTTGCATCGAGATGAAGACTGAAAAACAACAATGCATCACCCTTCCTAGGTTTCACTGCAAATAAGGCATGAACATATCGAAATTGAGAAGTTAATTACAAGATTTATTTCAGTGGTTTTATTTGTTGTTATAATGACAAGCTTTATTTCAGTTCTACTGTGTTAACAACATTTTTTTTCCCTTTAAGCATCTTATGGTGGTCTATGAAACAGGATGACGTGTTTTGTACTGATTCCTCCATCTTCTATAAAAGTCCTTCAGATTCTTTTCACTATATGGAAGGGGGATGACAGGAAGACTCTGGTAAACTGATGGTGAAATGGATAACTACTGAGATTGCTCTCTACACCTAGCCAACGTGAAGCACAATCAAAATGGCATACCACAGCAATTACGTTGCTTTCCATTAAAACAAGGAGAATCAAGAGAATATGAAAAAAGATACTGAATGTTGAACCGTACAGTAATGACTATGCAGTCCAGTCAGACAGGGGAAAGAAAGGACTCATGCAGCTAATAAAATCCATCGACCAATAGGATCCCATGCAAAAAAGCACATTATTAAGTCGTTTGCACAATTGTGGAGATTTTACCATAACCATACTACAAGACATTTCCATGAACTGATGGACATGAAGAAAAAGGGACATGTTTAAAAAGGAACATGTTATTTGCATTTTAAGCACAAGCAAATGCTCCATTACAGAGAATTTGCAAGAGCACCTCCTTTATCTTCTTCCCTATTATGCCTCATCATGAATCCATATATATGCACTTTCAAAACAATGGATAATACATGAATACTGATGGGACCCTCATAAATATAGATGCCATACTCAAACTATTCATCGTGTGAAACATACCTGCATATCCATTTTTAGCACAATCTGACCAGTCATCACCCTTTGGCTGAGATTTTTTTGCCTGCAGGTTTCACGTTAATGAGGAAAAAAAGAAAATACTGCATCATAATCGCCGGCATAATAGAAAAGGATTAATCATACAATTACTGGTTACCTCTGAATTAGGAAAAATGGTTTCCCCACCCTTCTCTACATCTGACAAATACATAAGAACAGTAGCCACCCGATGACCACCTAGCTCTTGATTGACCTTGTCGTGGAAATAATCATAATGTGGCTCATACTTTTGGCCATGTTCATAATGCAGTATTTGAATAGATTCCCCATTCTCTGTATACCAACTTAATAAATTAAGAATCTCGCTTACGGATATATACACGTATACATTACAGACACATGAGACAGTGAGATGAAAGCCACTTAACATCATTGAAGCACTGTAGTACCTTTAGGAAGGAATGTCCAGGAAGCTATCCTAGCCTCCACATTAGCCACTACTTCATCCTTATAAAAAGAAAAACAAAACAAATGTCAGTGGTCTCTTTCAGCAAAAATTACATAGACTAATATTAATCCACTGGGGAAAAGTTTTTGAAGTGGAGAAGTAAAGCGGCATAGGTAGAGATTCAGGAATTCAATTTCAATTCAAGACAGAGATACTTGAACTTCCATATAGTCCATATGAGGATATGAAATTACAAGTATGCCCAGCTGAAGAAATAAGCAGGAAAACTTCGGGGAGAAAATATAATCCGAAGGAAGTCACTGACTCAACCTGAAGGGGATGTAAAATGACAAGCCATCTCTAAGGGTTTCTAAAGCCATTAAATGTCAACAGCATAATGCTCAAGAGTGGTTTCCAATACTAGAGTATAGATCACTGAGGGTTCACGTTATGCTTGGTTCACTCAATGGTACATGATTAATGATGCTACCAATTTCACACAGAATGCATATGAACTAGTAGAAACTCTAAAGTACATATCAAAGTATGTTCTAAGTTCTCAGTCATGTAACAGTTGTCCGAGTTCCAATTATTTTGCAGCATCACACTTGGTGTACTGTTTGTATTGACACTACCCCAGAAGCTGAATCCTTAAATAATCTTCAGACGTGCCATTAGTATTTAAGAAAAACCTGAAATACCTAAAAAGGTACAATTTTCTGCATATAAACTTCATTTATTTTTTCCAGTTTTAAGTCTTCTCTAACAGGATTAAACTTTGACACAAATTCCTTGGAACATGGTAATCAATCATATGTTGATAATTAGTCCATTATCATCGGATAACAAAGATTAAATTACCACTTTCTAGTCTCTTCATCTAACAAATAGCCAAATTGGAAGTATGATCTTGATGAAGGAAAGCAGATCATATCCTATCACTATCAAAATGTTTATTGGGTCAAACAGGCAAAGTTCCACAATACCACAAGGTTAGACCCTTTCACGGGAAATATTAACAAAAGATGGTCAGCTAAAGTTATATTTTTTTATGAAAAGATGGTCCGCTAAGGTTATTAGGAAGTTTAAACACTAATTTCGTATTAAATTGATCGTTAGAAAGGGCTCCAAAACTAAAGATCCAGAAGATTTAAATCTTGTTATCCAGTGATCATCTTTGTAGTGTAACCAATGAGGTTCACAACCAATTGAAGATGCTTCTTTGTGAGATCTGTCAACCTCTTTCTTTTTTGTTTTGGTTTCTTACAGTGTCGGTACCTGCTTCAGGCCCCAATTCTATCCCCAAGGCTCAACCCGAGACCTTTGTTTAAGGTGGAGGGATCAGATACATACCACACAACCTTTGGTGGTGCCCAGCTCTTTCACATACAAATGGTTTCATAAATATGAAATAAGATGTGATACCACTGTTTCTAAATGACAAATTCTGATAGTAAAAATAGAAATGGAAGTAACTAGAAAACAAAATACTTAATACCAAAGGCATCACAATATAATATTTAACTGGCACAAGGAAGATGACAGAACACATCTAGTTTATACAACACAAAAGAGGGAGGAAAACCATCAAACATTTGAAATTCAAGACAAAGTAGGATTTTGTGAACCTGGCCCTTGCTAAGAAACATGCCGGAGCTTGTCCGAACTTCACTCTCTATGCTCTTTCCTGACTCATTATCAGCCACCATAGACTTCTCCAGCTTATCTTTAGCCTACTCATTCAAATTTTGAAAGAACATAAACAACATCAAGTGAGCATAAACTGCTATGTAAAAGAGAGATCTTTCAGCACCAGGGAATTAGACAGTATCAAATAGCTAGAATTGAGA